GAACGGATGAACTCCCCTGGCCGAAGGCACTGTGCACCCTGATCAGGCCACGGCCACTGCGACGGCACACGCGGACTCCGAGCTCCGCCCACCGGGGACGTGGTCCCTCACCTTCGCAGGCTCCAGCGGCCCAGCACCGGAGCACCAACTGCTCCCGGACCACCCGCAGCCCCTCTGAGAATCCCAGTGTGTGACGCCTGAGGTGGCGCTGGGCTGACCGTGCTGATCAACAGCTGACTGGATCCCCCAGGGAAGGCAGAGCTTGGTTACTGCCGGAAGGGGACAGCTAGAACAAGCAAGGTCCTATTTCAATCAAGCATAGGAGGCTGGGTTTGGGATATGACCTTTATTGAACTCATCCACCAGCGTGGAAATAATGTCTGTACAAAACCAAATGTTTGTTACTATAACTTCTGCATCACAATTAAAATCCAAACAGTTTTAAAAACAGTCAACTCAATCAAAACCCACTACTTCAGAATCAATAGCTTCTTTGAAGCCACAGTAACACTTAAATATGGTTAAGACTCGAATGCAGAAATTTGGTCGGTTGGAAAGCTAATTAAACTTCCACCTTGCTCAAATAGAATTACAAAAAGGCAAAATTGTGTTTTTCACAGAGATACAGTCCACTGGAATCACCAACACTGGACAGCTGTTAAAGAGTATTTAGAGTCCTGAGATAGTAAGGAATCCAGGCATCCTTTACACAGTCTTCTGTTGTCCTTTCTTCCCAATCAGAGACTTGTGGATATGTGGGATGACACCTAGGAAAATGACAGCATTAATTCTATTTTCAGTACACACACTTCAAACCAAGGCGGTTCACTGTTCAACCCAGATGTCTTTAAAAACATCAAATTCAATTATGAGGAGAGAGCTGCGTTACACACACAGACTGATTTTGCACACTTTCATATACTGCAATGAACACAAACCCGAATGCCCTCTCCCGGACCGAACACTAGTGGAAATGAACAACTCCTTCCCTTTTGTAAGAGAAGTCACAGTAAGGTTGGCGCAATCACGTACCACCGCCAGCAATTGTAGCCTTGATGAGCGAGTCCAATTCCTCGTCCCCACGAATGGCAAGCTGCAAGTGGCGAGGCGTGATGCGCTTCACCTTCAGGTCTTTGGATGCATTTCCTGCCAGCTCCAGCACCTACGAGGCAGAGCTGGCTCAGCCCCCGACTTCGCCGCGCCCGCCGCCCGACTGACAGAGCGGGGGCCGAG